ATGATGATGGAGAGGTAAAACTTTCTTGCTATACCTTTCTCAATGAGGTCGCCCAGAAGTTGAGGGACTGGAGTTTGGGATGAGACAGGTAGGATGTCAGGACTGATCTGGTGTTCGTCGGAGGAGTGGCAGATGACCAAGACAGCACTTTCAGGAACTTGAGTGGTTTCGTCAGCAGGTGTGTATTGGACGCTGCTGTGATCTAACGCATTAGGTGTTCGGTCAGTTTCTGACTGTTTTGCGGGTTGTTCAGGTAGGATTTCTTGTCCGTCTGAAGTTATGGAGGTTATGGTTGTCTGAGAGTGAGGTGAAGGAGTGCTGTTCTCTTCTGGGTGCTAGTCAGGCTGACTCTGGTTTCTCTTTCTTTTTCCACTTCCGATCCTCCTCCTTTCGGTGGAAGAACTCTTTCATCATCATTTTCATCAGCTCTTGTGAGTCGAAACACGGTAGTGTCTTTTGTTCTTGTGTGGATTCAGTTTGAGCTTCAGTTTGGTCAGCTTGGAATCTTTGCGAGTTCCTTTGTTGATTCCTTGGACTGGTTGCTCCCGGGTGTGTTTGTCGTTTTCCCTTGGAGGTTCCGTTGGTTTCCTCACGAGCCTTTTCCTCTTGAGTTTCCAAATGAGTTTGGCTGATTCCATGATCTATCCCATTGATTCTCATGAGGTCTGGATTGGTCACAAGATTTTTCCCAGTGACGTCTAGGTGAGTGTTGTCATCCACGGGGTCCATCCCAGCGGTTGTTCCTCTGTTTAGGTCGGGTACCAGCATGGGAGTCTCGTTCTCTGTTGGATGAGGGTGTGTTCCACTCTTTGTGTGGCGGCTTGGCATGGTCTTGATGTTGGGCACCCTCTAGAGCCAGACCTTGACTTTGAGTGTTGAAGTCAAGAACTGTTGGGGTTTTGGTGCCCTTTTCTGAGGCCATCTTTTGTTTGCCATAGGCTTTCTGTGCCAAGTCTCGCAACTGTTGAGCATTCATTGTTTGTGGACATGCGAGAACTCCAAGATGGTGGCTTACTCCAGGATGGAGGTTTCTCAGGAAGAGAGTTTTGAAGTTCAGATCGTCTTCCATGTTCGGTTCATTGCGAGTTCCGAAGTATGCTCATCTGAGTCGGCTGTAGTAGGCTTGGGGAGATTCATGACGACCTTGTTTCGTCTCCAGGGCAGCCACTAGTCCTTGTTCTGACTCAGGGTCGGCGATTTCTTTAATGAGGGCTTCTCGGAGCAGATGGTAATCAGTCTTTGTGTGAGCAGGCTGCCGGTCCAGGAAACTGCACACTTCAGGGCTGGCCGTTGTTCGGAGCAAATAGAGTCTATCTTTGTCAGTGACATTGGGTCTCATTTCCAGATGGAAATCGACGTCTTGCAGATAAGCTTGGACATCCTGGCTACCTGGCACACTTGGGGTGAATTTGCCAATGTTTCTGGCGAGCTTGTCGAGGTCTTTGAGGTCCAAGCCATGCAATGCCCTGTGGCTGGCTGGAGCAAGTTCTTTTAGCTTTGTCGTGAGGTAACGTTCTTCAGAGGGAGCCGGTGAATGTTTCAGCACTGCCCCCTCTCCCTTTTGCTCACGCGTCAGTCCAGGAACAGGTGACCCATCCTGCTTGGCAGAGGTTGTCCTTGTAGGCTCAGGGCACAGCTCGTAGGCATGTCTGACTTCCTCTCTGATGCTGTCGGACTTCTCTTTGATGTGGTCCAGCTGTTGTGTTAGGCGACTGATCTCATTTCTTGACTCATCCAGGTGAGTTTCAAGGGCTTTAATTTGGCCGTTCTTGTCTCTGAAGTCGGCCGTTGCCTTTTCCAGGAGCTGTTCTGCATATTGTAGCTTGTTGGAGAGATCAGCGTAGTCAGCCTCGCCTTGTTCCATTTCTTGGGTCGTAGATGCTAGGGTCTCTTTTAGCCTAGTGATCTCCTCCTCTGCGCCTTGTTCCACTTCATCAGGCCCTTCCTGTCGTTCCTGAGCCTCCAGTTCTAGCTGCTCGACGCGTCGTTGTGCGCGTGCTAGCTCCTGCTGGAGATGTGCCTGTTGCTCAACTTGAGGGTGGCGATGAGTGTGTGGCTTAAGGAGCCAGTGATCTTTGCTCATTCTTTGTGACTGTAGCTCTGACTTGGGTGTTGTCTCATGAGGTTTGCTATGTTGTCATCCAGTTGGTCCTGTGTCTGATGCCTCAGTGTTTCAGCAGCCTTAGGTAGGAGGCTGTCTGTTGCAACACTTAGCCAGGTCTCGAGGTTTTCCCAGTGGCCAACAGAGTCTGTTGTGTGAGACATGTTTTGGCGCGGTGAGGGAGATCTAGAACCTAGACTGACACAGACCATGAAAACAAAACAAACAAACAAGGCAAAAACAGGTGTGTACGTGTGCAATGTCACGTGTGGTTTGGCAGTGAGTGTGTAATGGACAGGTGAGTGTAGTTCTCGGCGACTGTGATCCTCTGGTGTGTGTGCTTCTAATTTGTAGTCTCTGTGGGAAAATTAGTAAGTGCACACAGGTAGCACAGCTAGAGAACTGAGGGAGAAAAGAAAAATAACAAACAAAGCAAGGAACAATAGTAATTGGCTGCTTCCAATTTTCCTGTAAGAGAAAGGTTTTTTATTTGTAAAGAAAGAAAGTTAATGGTAAGATGAAAGTGAAAGATAAAACAACAAAATACCCTTTTCTGGTAGCAGAATGAGTATAATTAAATTCTCTTCTCTTTTCCCTTTTGGTTAAGTTTGATTTAGAAGGATGCTTCTAAACCGGTGTTTGGGAATGAGGATTTCTTAACCTGTTAGCCATCCAGTGTTCCACACACGGTACACTACATACGTCGAGGGTTAACTTTGTGAAACACACACACAAAAAAAGGTAAACGTATCATATATCTTTGGAAAGCTGAGATTCTTGTGATTCGAATGACGCAAACATTCATGCATTTGAAGATACAATCAACACAGCACGTACAATCAGTGTCTTTGTCAGACCAACAACAACCATATAACCAATAAACAATAACAAAACTGAAGAAACTCACCTATGAAGCCTCTTGTTAGTCCACTAGTTCATTACATTCCAACAAAAATTGTGTAGTTACACTGTAAAGGGTCCAGACGATCCAATTCAGTGAAATATTTAGTCCATAACACATTTATATGTTGATAAACATCCACGGAATGTAGTAGTATCATTTCATATTAGCCGACGGAGCCCTCAAAGCTTCGGTGCATTCTGCAGTACAGCTCGTGTTTGCATGTAAACAAAACCGGACCATTGAAGTTAAAATGGCAGCTGAACTCTGCCCTTTTGATTGACACCTTATTTGAGCCAATAACTGAATCTATGAGGTGTTTACAGGCAGCGATAGCCAACTAGCATCTAGGATTGAAGGATAAGGCAGCCTCTCTTTGATCGACAGTAGACTGATCCAATTGCATCACAGTTTGCAAATGACTGTCGTTTCTGATAGCCAATGAACTTCTGAACAGAATAATATGCTGTTTTAGTGGGCAGGTTTAACATATCATGCGCAAAAGTCCGTGCACAAAGGATAATGGAAACTTGTGCATCCGTGTGTAAAGAGTGCCCTATGAGAGACAACGGGAAAAGGTGGTTATTATGGCGGCAGTTCTATGCCATTAACAACAGAGTGCACCACTGATGCTGGCGCGCGGGGTAAATCAATTCCGCGAGAGGAAAACAGATTTACACCCGAGGAAATGGGAGCCCTGGCTCATTTCAAACCCTTGCGCGCGTGACATCCTCTGCGCGCAATACAAGCCCTCGCGCGTGCATGATCATTCCCCACATCCTCGCGCTCGATCTTCCCTCACCTGCTCGCGCGAACACTTTTATTTTTGTCAGTCGTGGGGCGGGGCTTGCTGTTTTAATTGTAACCTCAAATGTCATTGGTTATTCCTCTTTTCCGGAAGTCAGTTTTGGACGCCTGTTATAAGATGATTTATAATTCTCTTGACTTAAGACATGGCATCAGTGGACCAGATACATGCGAGTTATCGTTTCAATTGCTTGTTTTATTTATTTATTTTGTCTTTATTTAATGTAATTTAATGCATTGTTCATAGAGTAGATCTTTTTCAGATACTTTATTAATAGGAAGTCTTCTGTTTACTAGTGATTGCAGTCTTGTGATGATAAGAGATACACATATGAACCCTTTTTAAAGACTGTAATGATGCACGCACACACACACACACACATGCATACATAGGCTATATATAAAGCTATAGGAATGACAGTAAAGTTTTCAAAATGTTTTATCTTTAATCTTGTAAATAGATACAACATCATAATATTTGAAGGTTTGTTTAGTCTGTGTTCCTATAAAACACAGGTTTCACCATGTATGCATTTGATTTACAGTGTTACTAGTCATCTGCTATCAAAATCAGTCCATTCACGATGATGTATGAAAATTAATTCCTGTTTATGGAAAAGAAGCTTGTAATACATTCACTTCCAATGTATTTATTTATGTTCTTTTTGTTCTTCTTTTTTCCTTTGTTTTTGCAAGTTGTGTACTTGAATGCAGCAAATAACAACCGCCCAGTTCAGGAAAGTAAAAGCATTTGAATTTGATTTCTGGTTCATGTTTTCTTCAAAAGGCACTGACCAAGGAAGTTTCATATGCAGTAAAAGTGTCCATAATTAAAGGTAAAGTACAGTGGTCTAAAATTTCATTTAGGCCTAAATTTAGTAACTTAAGTAATCTGTAGGTAGCTTTTCA